CATGCTATTGACAAACAAAATCAAAACGGTCGTCGACTAGTCGATTTTTGTTTATTTAATAGCTTTATAGTTACTAACACATTCTTCCCACATAAAACAGTCCATCAAGGCACATGGATGCATCCAAAAACAAAACAATGGCACATGTTAGATTATATACTAGTTAATCGTAAATTTCGATCTAGTGTACAGGATGTACGAGTTCATAGAGGTGCTACTGGTGGTATTGGAACAGATCATCATTTATTACGAGCTAAAATTCGTTTACATCTGAAATGTTGTAAAAAAACAGAGAAAAAATATCGGATAAGACTTGATCAATCAAAATTGACAGATAATAATTTACTCTCTGCTTTCCGAATTGAATTAGCGAATGAAAGCAAAGCCATTCGGGGCGATAATAAAACCTTATCGGTGAATGAAAAGTTCACAAATTTTGTTAACAGTGTTCGAGAACGTGGTAGACACTACTTTGGAAACAATAAAAGCATTCATAAAGGCGGAAAAGAATGGTTCACACCCGAACTAAAGGAAATTGTTGATAAAAAAGCTAAAGCATATGTAGGCTGGCAACTACACCGTAATACAACCAACGAGAATAAATATAGAAACAGATACCGAACGTTGGCAAAAATAGTACAAAACAAAGTATATGCAAGGCAACACGAATATTGGGAGGAGTTAAGCATAGAAATAGAAAATGCAGTCAAAGTACACGATCCAACAACTGCTTTTCAAATCATTCGAAGGTTACGTGGAAATGGACCAAGCATAAATCACATACCAATCCAGGATAAGAACGGCTTAACGTTAACAAACAGTAAAGATCAATTGAATCGATGGAAAGAGTATTTTGATGAAATGCTCAACGTTGATACAACAGTAAGCGAACAAGTTTTACAACAAATTCCAAGTCCTACAGTTGATGATGAAGAGCTTTCTCGACAGGACGCTGTACCAACTCTTGATGAGGTTGTAAAGGCAATTGGACAAATAAAAAATAAAAAAGCTCCAGGAAAAGACGATGTACCAGCGGAACTCCTAAAAGCGGGCGGTCATTGTGTCGCTGAATGGTTACATGAAATTATTCACGATGTATGGGAACAGGAGATAATGGTAAAGGAATGGGCTGAAGCCATTATAATACGACTATACAAGAATAAGGGTGATAAACGGATCTGTGACAACTATCGAGGCATATCCCTACTAGATGTTGCAGGAAAAATCTTTACCCGAATCATACTAAACCGTATTCAAGCTTCACTTGATCGAAAGCTGATGGAGGAGCAAGCAGGCTTTCGTTCTAGAAGATCCACCATGGATCAAGTCTCCATACTAAAAATGGTCATGGAGAGATCAAGAGAGTTTAATCAACCTCTACATATGTGCTTTATTGATCTAAAGAAAGCATATGATTCTGTCAATCGAAAAGCACTTTGGCGAGTGTGTCGAGCATATGGATTATCACAAAAGATAGTTCGAATGTTGCAACTGCTATATGAGGATACATCTGCTCAAGTTCGGATCGATGA